AAAAAAATTACAAGCCCTGCAGAGGGGCCCCAGACCCTCCCCCACAAAGCCAGATTGGAGCCATTCCATGCCCCCTTTCCTTTGTAGCCAGGTTGGGGCTGGGATGCACCCCCGTCTCCCTGCGGGGCTGGGCCATGTACCTTTCCTCCCATAGGTCATTGTGCACCCCCTTGACCCCCACCCCTATCCCTGTCCCGACTCACAGGACTAGATAGGGTCTGGGCCACAGCCCCTCCCCTCCACAGGGCCATGTTGGAGCAGGACCAAGCCCCCTTCCACCATGCAGCTGGACTGGGGCCAGGCTCTGCCCCCCTTACCCCTCTGATTGACTAGATGGGACCCTGCCAGATCCTGCCTGTGGAGGGATTGGGTGCTGCTCATCTGGCCTGCCAGTTTAAAAAAAAAAAAAAAAAAAAAAGGTTGAGCACCACTGGTTAGCAGCATTACTTTTAAGATGAGCTAAATTGCAACTTTTATATATGATCCAGTGGTCTTGTATTTCTTCCAACAGTAGTGTCCCCATGGATAAAATCTTTCACAGAGATTCTGACCTGACCTGTTTGCAGAAAGTAAGTATTTTGACTTTTTAAAAATATTACTTTGAGTTCCCTTGAACCATCTAAAGTGGCAACCAGGAAGTCACAGCTTTAGGCCAGTTGCAATAAATAAGTAGCTCTATTTTACTATAACGAGAATGAGGTTGACTTGATATTTCCAAACTTGCTGTTTATTGTTGAGGTTCAGGTCATTGAATAAAGCCATATTTAAAGTATTGACTTTAAGTTGGTAACAGGAGAAGAGCAAATTGTGGTCTTTTCTGTGTTTTATTGCTGTTAGGATCAGCAAGAATTTTATGCATGTTGAGAGAAGAATAAACTTCCTACATCTTTGTTCTGCCATTTTAAAGTGGTGTTGCACCATGTTTTGCATGCATAAGTGAGATTTTTAATTTTCCAGTCCATGTAATCATCTTTATGACATTCTAAATAACTAAAGTTGTAACATTAATTGCACAAACAAGACAGAAAATTTGCCCAAAGAGAAAAAGCACGTAAACAGTAGACATACACAATTAATTGTATACCCTTATTTTTCTCCCGGCATTACTTGTAGATTTAAGTAGGTTATGAACAAACTGAACTGATAGAAAGATCTTAACCACAAATTATACAATAGTTAAATTCAAATGACTCTTGTGCATTGTATATTTTCTGTAGAATATATATCCTTCACTGCCAATGAGATTATTTTAGCCTTGTACTTCATAGCCAAACATTTTAGCACAAGCTGATTGCCACCTGAGATCATGAAGAATTTTTCTTCATGGCATAAAGCTATGTTTTGCTTTCATCCAAAGGAACAACAGGCAGCTGTTAAGAGTCAGGACCTGTAAATAAGGGAATCACTGGTCTGTTTTGCTAGGAAAAGTCCTATATATGCTTTAAATTGCAGTCTGCAAACCGGGTAATGAATTAAGGTTTACTCTTAGAATATTTATCAACTACTGCTTCTCTGGGGGGTTTTTCTTCTTGACTTGGTTTCTGAATTTGAAAATGCTACTTTTCTTTTTAAACCAGCTTTTGGAGTGCATGAGGAAGACTCTGGGCAAGGTAACCAACTGCTTCATCGCTGAAGAATTCTTGACTCAGATAGAAAACTTGTTCCTTTCCAGCTATAAAAGTGAGAAGCAGAATGATGCAGCTGATGAAAACAAGAGCATGTGTCCAAATGAATTGCTAATGTGATGCCTTTGACAAAGTGGAAATTTCAGTTGTTTGGACTCTTCTCCGATGTTTCAGCTTTTCCAACATTGTCTTGGTTGACAATAATAGTGATTGAATCTGGTGTCTCTGAAGTGTGACTGTTTCAAGACATTTTGGAAACTGCTAGCAAAAATATTTTGATTTACATATGAAACTTTTTAATATTTCCAGTCAGAAAAATAATCGGGTAGTATTGTTGACTTTGTTATAACTGCTATTTAGGAGGGACATGAGCTGAAATAAAAAAGAGTATTATGCTGCAGTCCTTACTGGAGAGAGTCCCCCCCCTCTCAGTGTTTTGGTCTCAAATTTCTCTTTTCTATTGTCAAATACACAGGTATTACATTTGGAGTAAGATGTGTGCATCAGAGGAAAGAAATTTGCTTGTGGGCTCTAATTTTGGGTAATTCCATGGACAGGAATGGTAACCGCTTCACTGAAAAGTTTTGTTCTCTGGCTGATTTCCCCCCTCCCCAACTTTCCTGCTCTCTACTCTTACATTTGTCCTCTGCTTAATCCAGTTCATTGTTCTTCTCTGAGCTGTTACACATAACTGTTTTCTAGCAGATGGTTATGATTTGTCACTTTGGGTTGCCAGCGTTTCCAGTGGAAACAATAACTCCTGCTTTATCACAGGTTGTACTCTATCTGGTCTTCTGTATTACAGGGAGATGGTATTACCTTGTGCTATCAGATCATCATGATCTCTCATCTAGTCGCCAGTGTTTCCTATGGAAACAATAGGTCCTGATTATTACAGGTTGCTACCATATGGCAAAATCTAGTGCCATATTGTGACAGCCAGAATGTTTGTCTGAAAAAAAAATTAAGGAGTATGCCTTTTGTATTCATATACATTAGGTGTTCAAAATGCATTTTAAGTAGTACATGTGCTGTTCATATCAGCTTTTGCCATAATTTTGTACAAAGGATATCTTTGTGTATATTAGAACTATATAAGCAGATTGATTTATATAGAAAAAAGTTTCAGGAAACCATAACTTCCAGTATGTTATCAGGTGTGTGCATTGGGAAGTTTCCTTCTTGAATTGGGAATAAATTGTTGATTTGTTTACACATACTATATATTCTCCCTCTAAAGAGAATATAGCCAAAATGTCTGACTTGTCTGAAAACCATGGAGCAATCCAGAACTTTGCTTCATTCCTGGAGAATGGGAAATTCAGGCTAGTTTTTATTTATAGATTTGGCTGTACATAAAGCATGCAATTTCAGGTTCAAATCTGTAACTACTTCTACCAACCCTGTATGCTCAGATAAAATCTATGTTGACCTCTAAAAATAAACAACACAAGTTTTGCTATTTTGAGATCCCATTCTGGGTAAGTCTTTCACCAGCAAGGTGAAACTAACTCCTGCCACATTTTCTATTATTAAGTTTAGTTTCTTTCATTTCAAAGTGAAGAACCTGATTATAGGAAGATACATGGACAGTTTATAATTGGAGACTTTTTTTTTCCAGTCTGTATTCAAAGCCCGTGGACGTGATAATAGTAGAGAACCTTATGCTTCTCTGGATTGTGTACATTTGCAGATAAGAGGCTTTATATACCAGAGTGATATGTATAGTTCATTAATTTAAAAAGTGCAATCCTTGCAATCTGCAGACCTGTCATTGCCCCTAAATGGTGTATATTGTGAACTGTCATCTCTGGTATTTCTGAAGTAAAAGTATTGCATGGCTGTCAATATCTCTACTGGTAAACTCTGCCATTTGCTCACAGATGAAACTTCACCTCTCTCGACTTAAATTTTGGAGTGTTCCATAATAAAGTATTATGCTACCAATCTTAGTTTTGTGTATTGCTTTCTGAAATGGGGGGCGGGGTGTGTGTGTGTGTGTGTGTGTGTGTGTACGTACTCATGTGCATGTACCTGTGCTAAAATATTTTGTAACTAGTGTTTGTTCTTAGAAACTCTTTTCATCAATACTTAAAACGCAAGTTTTGGCAGCAGTACATTGCAGATGTAGTATTTTTGTCTAAGATGGAAGGACAGATTCAATTTTTGGTCATTAAAAGCCAATGAAGTAGTGTTAAAAGAATTAAAAGATGTGCTGGCGGTTCTGCCCATCCTTAATAATTAAAGTGAAAATATTTTAGTATTTTTGTCCATTTGAAGCTTTGAGTCTCTCTCAATGGGCTGCAATCAAATTCTTGCTAGGAAACGCTTGCGTCTGCACAGCAACCCAGAGACACAGGTGACAAATAGAATTGGGGCCTGGATTTGCACAGCTGACCAGTAGAAAAATATGCATCTTAGTAACACATGGCTTTTCTGTTACCAATTGCTTTGATAGCGTATGGGATGAGGAAAGAACCCAGCTTGGTCTTCCTTACTTAATTTACCTATGTTGGGCTAATCAGAAGCAGGAAAGAAAATTACTAAAAATAAGATTTTACTATTTTTAACAGATCTGACTCTGCATAAACATAGAGAATCAAGCCTTTTTTACTGAGGAACTGGTATTTTTTTTTAACCCAGAATATTTGTCTGACCAGAGCTATGATTTTTTAGTATAATGATTCTGCTACATAATCCTAGTTAATGTTGTAACACCTCTCATGCTCAGAAGAGAGAGGAAAATGTTAAGCATTTGAAAAACCCACATGCAGTATAATTGACATCTGAAAGCCAGTTGCCTAAGGTCTGCATTAATTTGAACCTCAGTCTTGATGCTGCAAATTGGGTAGGTTCATTGCGATACTGTGAGGCTAATTTTCTGAAAATGATGATGACCTACTCTGATCTTCCTCTGTTGTACGAGTTCCATCTCCCAGGACTGCCCCATACATGTGTGGCGTGCAGATAGCCAATAAATATGCATGCAAGGATAAGTTGTTTTAAGTTTTCAAGTCTCAGTTGTTCACAGTACTCTTCCCTAGGGATTTGTCTTGTGCATGTGTATTTTGCTGTCTGTAAGGTTGGGGTGGTGGGGGTTAATATTCCTTTCCTAGGAAATCTGTTAAAACTTGTAAGAATTTGTTCTTGCTACTGTCATGGGCCATTGCTGTAAATAGCCATCTTTGCTCTTCCTAGTTTGGGAGAGCTTTTCCCTTGCAGGGTTATTGGATACATAGTCTTCTAGCTAGCTGTATTCTGTCTCTGTAGTCATTTGTAGTCATTCCCTCTCCTTTGAAATACCAGAGAGAGAGAACCGTAGGTTTTTTTGCACAGATCAGTACTGAAATTAGTACCAGCAGGGGGAGCTCTGTTACATCTAATATGTTGAAGTTTAAAAAAAAAAGTCACCAATGCTTCAATATAATATCTTCCCCTGAGGATCTGGAGCTCAGATCCTCTGTGCTGTTTAGGCATCAAACTCCCTTCAAAATGAATAGGATGTGGGCACCTCAATGCCTTTCTAAAAATCTCGGCTTTAATGCTCTGGAAAAAGCCGCGGTCTGTTTCTTTCTCGTTCCCGTTGGTCCTCTTCTCCCCAAATTCCTAGGGATGTTTTCATAATGCATTGAAAAGATGGGAGGAGGGAGGTCTAACAAGATGATTGCTGTGTTCAGGCTATCAATTCTCCCCTTCAACTCCTTCCTTTTCATATTCCTTTTGGGAATGTAAGCTGTTTGGGGCATGAGATGCTTCTTTATGTCTTCCATACAGTGTCTAGCACAGTGGGACACTGTTCTCATTGGGGTTCATGGGTAATACTGCAATGTAAATGATTGTGGTGATGACTGAAAATGAAAATTAGGCTTGCCTTCAAAGGGAGGGGAGAGGCTTTCATCCATATTCTTACAGATGGAAAGTGAGGCTAATGCCCTTACTTGGACCCTTTGGACCCTCAAAGGATTAGATCCATGGGTTAGATCTAGTCCTTGGTGACTTGTGCACAGTGACACTGAAGGGTGGTGGTGGAGCAGGGAGGATGGACCATGCTTCCTCAAGTCTGTAAGCAGGACAGGAACCAGAATCCTATTCCTGTGATAGCTACGCCTGCATTTAACCAGGTGACTTTGTTAAATTGAATATAGTGGCTCTGAAATATGATTGGTTTTGCACTAGAGACAGAGCAGTGTTCTAGCCAATAGGTAAAAGACAATGTTTTTTATTAGCTATTGGGTTCTTGTAGGTGGTAGTTTTGTATCCTGGGATGGATCTTCATGGACTTCAGTTTTCTCATTCTTCCGATGTAGCTGTGTTTACCTAGTAAATCCCAGGGACTGATTGGAGTGACGCAATAACATTTCCAGGGTAATCTCCACTAGGAATCCATTTTGACGTAAGTTTTTTCTGTAGTATCTCTGAAGCATTAAGTAAGAACATTGCAGCCCTGTAAAAATGTCGTTCTTCTTTCCAATGAAGTCTTAAGGTAGTCATCAACTTAACTTCATGTGGCCTTACTCATAACTCAGATATGGTCTTCAATTCCAATACCGTTTGGCTCCCTATGTATCTCTGTTAATGGTAGGGGCTAGGTGAACGTGTTCCCTGAGGTGCTAATGTGGCATTGGCTCTGCCAGGAGGTGCTGAGATATAAAAGCATTTTGTTGTGGCGTGGAAAAAGCTTCCAGTTGCTTTCCTTCTGCCTCGTGGCCCGAATGCACCAGGAGAGGGAAAATGCAGTGATGCATCAGTGGGTCTCAGAGAAGAAAGGAATCTACTTTGCTGTTGTTGATGAGCCTGCCAAAAGAAGCAAGGAAAGGAGGCATGATTTCAGATACCATAGCTCCATGGATTTGCCACTTTGGCAGGAGCTGGTTGTTTAACAGCATGATGAACATTGTAATCACATTTGATGCTGAACAAAGTATTCAGTAGCCCAGTTAAAAGTATTCTGGTTGCTTAATTGGAAGTATCTTGCTGTTTTACATAGACCCAACGCCCTATTTTTATCAGAGAAAACATGCAGAGAAATTGTTTCCATGGAAGCGGAGAACACTACCGAAATAATGCCTTGTGCATTTCCTACAAGATTCCTTTTAAAGCCTGCTGTTCAAAATTATTAACTCTTTTAGTGTCAGTGGCTTATCTTACTGTGGTGCAAGCAAGGAAACTGCTGTTTTAGGGCATAGAAAAGGTATGAGACACTGATTTTGTTTTTAAGAAATAGTCTGTCTGGTTCTTCTGCCGTTGCTTAGGTAGAGCAAAGCTGACAATGAATTTTGTGCACCAAACCAATAACTGTACAACACGGCAAAATTGGGGATTTAGAACTAAAATTCTTCCCTTTCCTAAATGTCTTGAAGAGTTTGGCTTATGTGAGTCTTTGACTAAGCACAGTATTTCTGTACTTGTGACCACTAAGAATCTTCCCCCAGGAAGGGGATTATACTGGCATTTTGGTTACCCATGGCTTGGCTTTTCTATTTTGTCTTGGGCAAACAACTGAACTTCTCTGTGCCTTCTTGTCTACAAATGAGGACACTACCTTCTTGCCTAGCATAGGAATGAGAAGAAGACCATATGTGTACATATTTATAAAGCACCTTGACATCTTCAGATGACATGCAAGAGTATTATTAAAAATAACACTGTGCTGTGTACATTTATATGGCACTTGCCAAATGCAAACACTGATCCTCAGCATATATAATTTGCTGTAGCTCCCTCAATGTTGGTGAAAAGCAATAATAGCAGCCTTTACAGATCTGTCCCAGGATGAAGATTTGACAGGAAGAGGGCTGGGCTGGGGGGTATATTCCCTGTTCCTTGGTGTTTTGTACAATGGACAGGACAAAGCAAAGGTGAGATGTAACTTGGGAAAGGGAGGGTGAGGAGAAGGGGCTGATGATGATAAATGGGAAAGAAACGCATGGAGAATGAGTGATTTCAGAGGAGGCGGGGGGGGGTGTTCGACTGATAGATAAATAGAGGCTCTTCCAGCGATAACGCAAGAGTCAAAGGTGAGAGGTCTGGGTGGAGTACAGAGAACAGCCAGAACAATATGAGGAAATGGGAGCAGAGATGCAGGCAAGGATGAGATTATAGAGTGGAGCTGAAGCTGAAGATGTGAAGTCTGATTGTGATGCAGTGAGAGAGACGAAGCTAATGAATGGATTTGAGGAGGGCGTGTGGCATAGTTGAAGGTGACAGATGACTTAATCGACAGCATTTGAACAAACTGGAGGTGGGGAAAATGAAAGGCTGTCAGAGATGTCAGAAACTGTCCTGGCCAAAGCATAGGCAATGGTTATAGCACTGGGGAGTATGAAACAGGGCAATGCTAAAGGAGCAGCAGTAACACAACTTAGCAAGAGGCTGCATATGGTGTGAGAAGGATTTGAACTGACCACAGTTTTAGTATCAAATGAAAATAGAGATTAGGGCCAGAAAATGTAGCACTTGCATAGTAATTTCACTTGTGGATCTCAAGGCTCCTTAGAAAGGTGAGTAAGTATAATTATTTGTCTGGGAGGCACCAAGCCCAGAAAAGGTACAGGTGCAGTAACTTGTTCATTGCCAGAAAAGGAGTCAGTACAGGATCCAGGCATAAACCGAGGCAGACGAGGTTCTTTGGGTAAATGTGATATTTTTTTATTAGACCAACTAAATAGTTGGAAAAATTGTTCTTTGCAAGCTTTTGAGCACAAATACCTTTGTTCAGGCATAGGGATGGTCTTCTGGCATTTTGTGTTCTTCATGGTGGAATAGAAGCCAATATGCAAAATGCAGGTCTGTGAAAATGTAACTGCACAGCAGTGAGGATGGGAGACAATAGGTGAGACAGGCAGGTTGGGGGGGAAGCGGGGAGTGTTGACCTGGTGATAGAACGTAGGTGCTAAAATGTAGAGACGTGACCTGGGGTTATCGGATAGCAGGCAGGTTATAATGTGCCATA